CCAACCCCTTTTGTCTACGTATCATCAAATCTTACGCCTAACTGAAGATATCATCGAAGGATTTCATGACCATAAGCAAATCGCAGCAGTTTTTCTAGATGTAGCTAAAGCGTTTGATACTGTCTGTCACCCAGGGTTAATTTTCAAACTCCGCAGTGTAGGTACTCCACTATATCTTTCACGCATCATTGAAAGTTTTCTTTCCAACCGAACATTTTTTGTGCGTTTGCCAGGGGCTCGATCCACACCTTTCACCATCAAAGCAAGAGTACCTCAAGGATACACCCTCTCCCCCACTTTATTTAATATCTACACTTCGGATATACCAATCACTCAAAATACTGCTATTGCTCTATTTTCTGATGATACAGTACTTTACTCCTCAAATTACAATCTTTAATCTGCCGTGAATGATCTGCAACATCACCTCACATTATTTTCCAACTGGGCCAAAAAATGGCACATTAAAAGAAATCCTAATAAGAGCCAGGCAAAAATATTCCCTCGTAGACCAGATGTCCCTCCCAATCTCACATACCAATCCCAAAACATCACCTGGCTCCCTTCCAACAAAAGTGTCAAATATCTAGGAGGTCTATTCGATAAAAGGCTTACATGGCGGCGAAATATAAAACTCCAAATAGCGCTAGCGACTAGTACGAAGTCCATCAATTATATCCTGTTCTCAAAAAATCATCCCCATACAACTACATGTTGCTATTCACCTATATAAAGCAATGATACGACCCATGCTTTCCTATGCTTCCCCTGTCTGGGCTGCCGCAGACAAAACAAATATCAACAAAATCCAAATTTTCCAAAATAGATTCCTACGCACCATCCTTAAAGCTCCCTGGTACATTCCGAATGCGCAGTTACATAATGAAATAATGATTTCAAATGTGTTTTACAAAAAATGATCCCTGAGATCGTGTTAATTCGGAGAGAAATTGTGGTATCAATAGTATTACATAACCTTTACTAAAGGCGAGAAAGTTCGTGCTTTTTTAGCACCATTAGTTTTAATTTAACAATGTGAAAACATATTCGACTCTTCAAGCTATCTTGCAGATGGTGAATGGTTTGACTTGAAATCGGTAGTATTTATTTCTTGTGCAAAGAAATATATAATTTCATGTAATAGTAGTTTTATTCATTTAATACTAAAATGAGATATATAAATACAAATATTCAATTTACAAGGGAGCCCAGATAGTAATACCCCCCTCTGTTTTAGACTCCGCAAGCCTATGACAGTGCTTTAAAAGCAAATCTTTGATCGTTAAAACACACCTACTCAGCTCAGCAGAATCCTACTACAGAAATAGATACTAACAGTGGCTTTGAATTCCGTTTGGATGTCAAGCTCAAAGAGCGAAGTCACGATCGGTGTTAATTGCCCCAGTGACTCAAAATTAAGCACTAATTGAGGCAGTGGAAAAGCTGTTCACTGTACATATGGTTCTTCATATAAAGCAAAGACTAATGTAATGTATAAACATAGGACACTTACCATGAAAGAATTAATATGGGCTCAATAGTTATTAATCTAAAATTCAAACTTATAAATATTGTTCTGGAAAAAGGAAACAACACTAAAGAGAGAGTATGTCATTTATTTTATTTTGTCACTATAGAAAAAGAGAAATATAATACAAACATGTGGTGCTACAGAATGACACAGACCTTCTCGTATTAGTTTTCTATTTCTTATGGTCACGGCTAGCTATTCGAACCTGCCACATACTCTTGCCAGCTGCCATCCATCGCCACCGGAAGTACATTTTTTGAAATGTTATTAATTTTATTTTCTTAATTTTTCGGTTTCTTAACAATAGAGTGGAAATATATTCTTACCAATAGAGTGGTAGCCGTTTTTAAGAAAATGGCGAGAAAACAAATAATAGAGCAATATGGCGTTTATGTCATCTCATAGAGTACATTTAGCGCCATCTCTACCAAAGTGTAAAGAAAAAAAAATTAAGCCATTTATGAGATAATCTTGATTTGGTATTTTTTTTAAATTACACATATTGCACGAAGACTACTAAAATTTTCAAAAAAGCTAAAAGATCTTAGTGAAAGAACTCACAATGAGAACAAATTTTATTTGCAAGAAAAATCCCAATCTTTAATTTTCTAGTTGTAGGACGACACCAAAAAAAATCATACTTTTGAAATTTTCGAAAATTCAGAGTTAACCTAGAAAATGGGACCCATCCCACCGTTATAAGTATATTTTACTCTATTCTTACAAGAAATTTAAAGAAAACTTTGGAGCGGTTTTTGAGAAAATTTTGAAAATATCCGGGGTGTTTCATGTAAAGTACCCCCAAATTTTAAAGATTTTTTTTCAAAATCTCCAAGCTACGACTCAAGCCAGATGGACAGGGGGTTCTTCAATTTAGAAAAATTCCTACGTATGGTTTAGGCGCTAGTGGTATTCACAGACGAACGGACGTAAAAAAAAAATCTCCATTTCAGATTTTAACTTTTCTGAACAATTACTGAAAAAATTACTAATAGTACTTGGGAGCAATTGCATCCAGAGTTTTTAGAAGTGAATTGAATACTTTCTTCCGAAAATTTAAAATTCTAGAAGTTTTTGTGAAAATAAGACACACGCTTATTACTACGCGAATTTTCATCTACATGAGCAAAAATCTAATTAACCAGAGGTGGTACATCAGCACATACTTTTTAGGACATATTATAGCTACACCACGTGATCGAGGATTTTTTTTCTACATTGAACAATTGGATTTATCCAATTTTTCGTTAACAGAGACCTATAATAAGAGTTTTCTGGCAAACAGTCGCCGTTTTTTCGCACAGCATTACATAATTTTCACTCTACTGTGACTGTCCATTCGGGCGCATCTCAATGATTATTAAAATATGCTCCAAAATAACTAAAATTGGCATATTTAACAAAGAGACAAACAGTGGAAGCTGCAAGCGTGGAAGAGTAACGAGTATTTATTTATAAAAATCCAAGGAACTGTGCTCTTAGTAGACCTGTGAAGAGTAAATAAATAAACAAAGAATATATAGGAAAGATATACAGTCACTCGAATTCTAGGTTATTATAGAATAACGAAAAAACTTTTATTAAATAAATGGCATGTTTGGCTAAGACAATTAAATGTTTTATAACCAATGGGCGATTACAAAAAACGTTTAGAAGATAACAATATTAGAAATTTGGAAAAGGGAAAGGTTATTAAATTTATTATTTGAATTTTAGTTAGAAATTGTTGCAATGAAGAAACTAAGAGAGTCTAAAGACATCTAAAAATTGAAATGTTAAATATTCAGCGAGTTTGACAGAAGAGAAGCTGTCCTTTGTTTCAAACTGCGCGGTGAAGAAGAACAGGACAACAATGCATATAGACAGACGGATGTGCGATCTTGAGTGATAACATCGTAGCGGAAGTCGAATCTTTGATTTTCAAGTAGAAATTTGTTTTGAAGGTAGTCGATTTTCGTAAAGTGATGCTTCTAGTAGGAGAATATTAATTCGTGTGTTTCAATAGGGAATTTAAAAAACGTATAATGTTTCTCCGCGCATTACGCCCTGAGGAAGGTCGCTGAATGGCGACCGAAACGTCGGCACCTTTGCCATGGACGCGGTGTCACGCGGAAAGACAATTAAATACCGATTGCGGCCGCGGAAGCCTACGCTCTCAAAAAGGATAAGATGGCAACCGCGTCAAGAGGACGTAGATGTTTGTAGTGGTCAGAGACGGCGCCATTACGAGGCCAACAACCTGGGAGGTGACGCAGTTTTGCCAAACGATTTTGTAATAAGTCCAAGACTTGTAGTTGATTAAGTTTTATTTAGTAAATGGCCATTAGAATCAATTCAATTTTTAAAAAGTGCACTCGCGTGAATGAAATGTAGATGTATGTATGAATGAGTGAACGATTTTCTGTCAAGATATGTTGTGTTGGTATATTCAAAGGGTAAATTTATATGTCGTGTAATTTTTATACAATAGGAAGCTGGTGTATGTACGGTGGAGAGCAGAATTCGCCGAGGAGCATTTTAGAATGTTGTCTACCAATAAATAATTGATGAATATAGTGATAGCATTTTTAAAAAGCTGTGTGTATACAAAAACCCAATGACAGGAGAAAGAATAAAAAGCCAGAGAGAGTCAGGTTCCCAAATCAATATAATAATATTTCGGTTTCCTGTATAGGGGCGACTTTGCGAATTCACACCAAAATTATAAATTTATTCTGTTGGAGGATAAACTTGGCATTTTCATCATCCGTCAAGGAAATTAAACATTGTAGACTTGGCAGTCAACATAAATTGTTATTCGCTTACAAATTTTGACTCGTTCAAGTGTGGGGTGAAATAGTTTAAAAAGTTTATTATTAGTACAATTTAATTCTCATGTTTATGATCCGTTACAGTACTCCGTAGGGGGAAAGTAAAAATTGCTAGCCTTCAGGGAATACAACTATGTCATTCCGCGCAGCGAATCGGCAGCAGATTACGTCTCATTGTTGTAACATGATGTAGCCGCATGAAAAGTAGTAATAATTGTCAAATTTGTGTTGATATTTGACTGAAAAAAATAATTTTTTTGCACCAAATGTTCTACGATTTGTAATGATCAAGCTTTACAAAAAATGACATGTATTAATTCGAAGAAAAATTATGGCGAAAATAGTATTACATAACTTTTACTAAAGGCGAGAAAGTACGTGCTTTCTAGCACCTTTAGTTTCAACTAGATCACTGATAACCCTATTTCTTGGGTACCTTTGTGCTTGGTCGGGCAAGGCCTGTAGCGAGCTGTCAAGCCATAGGACAGGACAGTGTGTAATACTCATTTTAAATATTTCCGAAATTTGAAGCGTTTAAATTATTGGTTTGTTGGTCGAATCTATTTAGACAATATAATACTTCTAAAAGTCCTAAAAATTAATATAATTTCGTCGATATTTACGTAACACAAGTGTTTTAATGGGATGTCATAGTATACTATTTAGGTTTGCCGCACCTGTACACGCGTTTATCTGTTCTGGAAACCATTCATGACGGCAACTCTTCGTACGTGAAATTGTCACATCTGATATTTTCGGTTGTGTGTTTTCTGACTTAATTAGATTCAATTCGTCGACACAAATTTATTTCAAATTACATTAATTTCAAATTATTGAATCTTAAATTAAATATATGTAAAACATAATTAAAATATTAATTTGAAATATGGAGCACTTCGGGTTTTCGTTTTAGTTTGTGAATTGGCAGTACAGCCTAAAAGTCAGAATCGCCTTGAATTGACTTCCCAAGTTCCCAGGTTTCCAGTCAGGAGAAATGAGAACGAGCAAGGAGAATATAGTTATAAAATTTTTCTAAAATTTCCTTGAGTGCAATAATTTAGATTTTACGGTGCATCGAGTATTAGTTGTGCTTAAATCACATTTTTGCCGAGGAAAAATATAAGGGTGAGTACAAAAATGTGGTAGAATGTTTATAGAAATTAGTTCACGTACATTCTTCTCACTAGGATGTTACAGTGACAAGGTTAATATAGTGGGCGTAAATCAGAGCCTGTTTAACTTATCTTTTTTAAAATTTGTAAATGACATAATATCCGAAAACTATCATTGGTTCTGAGGGATGAAATATTTGCGTATAGGCCCTACTTGACACGATGTCGTATGAAATATTTGAGGTTATTTTTCTCGGTTTGCTGTCATGTAATTGCTGAAATTATGTAATCCATCTGAATTATGTATTCTGTATATAATGTATGTGCATTTTAAAGCGTTTATTTTCTGTGTCTTTATGGTGAATTTTTTTGTAGTATTAATACATGGTTGTGTAATGTGTTATTTATGAACATGCAAATGTCATTCCCCAAATGTAAAAACAGCATGCATCGCCATGACCGAGCACATAGTGCAGGAGTGGTTGGCTGACTATAATGCTCTGAGCCCAGAGGAGGTTCACAGTTTTGCTAGCAGTTTGCATCATAATGAAGAACTTGTCAATGCATTATACACTGTATTAGAGGAGCGGAATCGTTTCCAGGAGGTGAGTTTAGTACATGTCAAAGTAGTTGGATCATTAATGTATCTTATTGTGAAAAGAGTAAATGTTTTTATGGTTCTTCCAAAAATTAATAAATGAAATGTGTTCATGAATTATTCTTTCAGTTGATTGACCCAGTTTGCACTCAGTTGTTTGGTTTCTATCGTTCACGGGAAGTTGAACTTCAACGATTCACTCTTCAGTTTCTTCCTACATTAGTTTTTGTGTATCTCAATTCAGTGGCTCATGGAGACAAAAAGGTGAGTTCGTAATGATATAAGTAGCGTGAAAGAAAATTTAACTGCTAATAAACAATTTTGAATAAACCATTTGTAATTTATTTCCTTTAGTGTATAGAAATAGCTGTAAATGATAAATCTTGGGAAAAATTTTGAAATGTTGGTTGGGTTATTAAATTTGAATTACAGTAGTCAAAGAATTGGTTTATGTTCGAGAATTCTACTTATAACACTTTGGCTATTGATCCTCGAGTGATAATAATGAAACTGAATGATAATTGAAGAAATTGAGTATGTTTGTTAAGGTTTATTGCCCCAAAATATAGATGAGGTCTATTTTATTGGACATCTCACTTTGAATATTGTCACTTCGAAATTCTGTAATAAGTCAGGATGATGGAAGCATGTAAATATAAAAAACTTGAGGTTCTAATTGTACGTTGAAATAATATTCTCCAATTGTATGATTTGCAGAGTTGTCGAAGTGTGGAGACCCTTCTTATTGGATTATATAATCTGGAGGTTGTGGATGAAAATGGTCAGCCAAAAGTGGTCTCTTTTCGTTTGCCTTCTTTGGCTCGAGACTCCATATATCATGAGGTATGTGTGTGGTGCGAGTTTTGTAATATAATATTTAAAGTGCATTTTAAAAATGTAACAGCCCTTTAGAAACCATTTGATTATGTGCCTGCATTTTGGTCTAGTTTAATTCTCTGGGGATATTTTAATTTTAGTGTTGACCCAATGTTTTTACGTTGTTACGTTTTAACATCAATGAGCGATCTTTGTTAATCATATGCTAGTGGAATTGTTACAAACTTCTTGAGATTTTATGACCAGGTCCAATATACTATCTATACATCACTTCACAGAAACTTCACAAAACACTTCACAGATTAAAATCACTGCTTTCAACTTAAGAGTTACTAAGTAATTAAAATCAATGAAGTTATAATAAGGAATTTTTGAAAGCAATAATTATTTATTAGAAAGCAGTGGTGTTAAGTATGTCAGTATTGATGTATTTAAATTTTATTCATACATATAAGTATGCTTGAATATATATTCTTAGTGAACATTCATGATGTTCTGAGCCACAACTTTTTTTCCTTCCTGGAAATGGAAGATAGTAAATGAGGATTGAAAGAGAGCCTTGAATGGAATTACAATATAGTCTCAGTATTGTGTATCAATTTGATTGTGTTTCTTCTCAATTTGAAGCTGAAAAGGTACAGTATTCTAGATGAAATGATTCATCCATTGCAGTATGTGTTGCTTTCTGAAGATCATTTTGATGTTCAATTCTTTATATTTTTTTACAAGCGATTTCCATCTCTGTTTTTTCAGGAACTGTTAGGAAATTGTAATTGCTTTACAGTAATTCACATTAGGTTTAAATTCAGGAGCTCTTTGTATTACTAGTAACAGTGTTCATTAAAAATGTATGACTTCTCATATAGCCTTTGGACTATCAATTTAACTTATCAACCTCTTTATTTCCTTGTTGTGCTTACAGACAGAATCACTTTCTTTCAAATATTAGGTCTGATAAAGATGCGACTTAATATTTTATTATGAGAGTTATATAAGAGAGTTTGTATTCTTGTGAACGATGAGTATAAGTACCAAGAGATGTTGATTGCTTTCAGGTCTTACATGTATTATCACTGGGCAGAATTTTTTAGGAATATTTTTGAAAATAATAAATTGTTTATGAAAGGTATACAAAGTAGATGAAAACTGTGTTAGTAAGCATTTAAAATTAATTTTTTAACAAAGAAAAAAACTAATTTCAAATTTTTTTTTTTTTGTAACACTAAACCACATCTTGATGTGTATTGTAAGAGGCATGTATTCTGTCCAGCCAATGAGCCTAGCACCTGCTTCGCTTACTGAAAGTGCTCTTCGTCGCCTTGAAGAATGTGACACTAAATTGGTGAGTTGGGGACCTCTGCCTCAAGTGGAAGCATTAAATGCCCAGAATCGTCTGAAAGTTATGACAGCATTGTTATTTGTGTATAACCATCAGCTAAGTTTAATGCACAAGTCTGCTTTGGAACACTTGTGTAAAGTTTCTTCCAAGTAAGTTTTATGATTTAACTGAATGTATTTACTGTTTTACCAGTATTGATTTCACTTTTAAATAGTTTTATGATTTTTCTGTGTTCTCCTATGACAGATTATTATATTTAAGTAGTACCCTTGACTACTTTTCAATAAAATGTAACCCTGAAACAGGCAATTTGGTGAATAACTTTCACCAGACTAGCCTTTTGCTTTCCCATTCCTGGAAAATTTAACAATACAGTGTGCCATTCTTCGTATATTTATATTAATATTTCTTTGTGTTGGCAATATTGTTTGGATATCTTACAAAGATTGAGGAGTTCAGTTTTTAATCATTATTCAGGCTAACCACTTTCTTGCAATCTTGGAAATTCGAGAAAAAACAGTGAATTTCATTGTTTTTAAAATTTTTTCTCCAGAATTATTTTAGATGGATATTTAATTTTTTATTAAAATATTGAAATCAGAACACTTTAACCAAGAATTATAATTTAGATTTAACAGTTTAATTAAAATATTTTATTAATTTTTAGAGTTTTTATCTCTACATTTCGAGGAATGCTTTTACTCTTCTTCAAGAGTTACTTTCAAAATAATTGGGCATCAGAGGCCAGAGTGAGCATCAAATTATATGCTCGCTCTGGTCTCTGATGCCATGAAATGCAGAAAAGACTTCCATTAAATATGTTAGGCACTTTTTCTCTTACATAGAGTAAGAAATGTATTTCAAAAATTGACAAAATTAAACTTCTGAAGAAGAGCAAAAGATGTCCTCAAAATGTTAAGTTGAAAAACTTAAAAAATGAACAGAACATTTTAATTATAGTAATTTATGTAACAAGTCTTCTAAATTAGTCCTCAAAGACTAATGGAGAACATACAATGTGGCATACAATGTTTTTTCTTATTACTAGTTTATTACTTATTCAAAAATTAAAATTTAACACTTTCATGAGTTAAGAATTGTCATTACTCTCAATTTTCTATAACAAGGGTTGTTGGTAGAGGGACTTGATACTGTTTATAAATATCAATCGCAAGGTATGGCAAAAAGTGGGGAAAGGGGGACAAACTGGAACAAAAATGAAACAATGGGATAAAATTGACCAAACGGGAAAATGGGACAAAGGGACAAACTGAGAAAATGGGACAAAGGTGCAAATGGAACAAAAATTTCAGAATGAATTTCTTGTAATGCTTAAGAATGTCTTTAAATGGCATTACATTTAGTGATAATTTAAAAAATTGTAACTTTTAATATATCTGTACAACATCGATTGTAAAAATAAATTTTGTTTACATTTAATTCCATAAATACTGTTTTGTGACAATGACCTATTTACCCCAAGATTTATGAGCACTGGTCAAATCTAAACCCAAAAGTCCACTGAAATATTTTTAATATTCTCTCAAGCATTTTAATGGCTATTGCCATGGACAAGCTCTTAATGCGTTGTTTGGATGATTGGTTGCTAAGGAGCCAAGTGTGTGTGTACTGATGGAAATAACAAAAAATTGTTCAATCTAAATTATGATTTCTGGTTAAAGTGTTGATTTTTTTTACTGTTTTTAATGAAAAATGACTGTGGGAAAGAATTCTGGACAAAAAATTCAAATGCGATAACTCTGGAGAAATTGAATTTCATTACTTTGGAAAAGTGTAGGAAAAATCACAGTATTTGTAGATGAATTATTGGGAGAAAGGGAAAGTTTTGAGGTGGAAGTCCAGCAACAATTAGTGGTTCAGTTTTTATTTGTTGAGATTTTTTTAAAACTTTATGCCTGTGAAATATGAGAGCTTAGAAATTAGTATCAGGTTTGTTTTAATATAATAATAATAATAATAATAATAATAATAATAATAATAATAATAATAATAATAATAATTAAAAAAAAGGTGAAATACTGTACAAATCTTATCAGTATAAAGTAATAGAAATGCACGGTAAAACTAAGGGAAGTTTATTCCAGCAAATGTATGGTCAACATGTTATTTTCTGAAAGGCTGCATTGTGTGAATGTAATTCAATATATACCTGGTTATGCAAGTTTTAGGTGGAACTAGTTTTTATTCTCACTTGCATTTCCATATTCAGGTTATATTGTGGCTATTTTAAAAATATATTTTATTTTAGGATTAAAACATTGAGGGGAGCAAAATTGGCTCCAAAAGATATGTTGCACACATTGCAAATGAATGGAAAATCAAGTGACAGCAATGAAATTTAATGTGTGTTCCAGTTTTGTATGTCAACAAGATATATGTTCTGTAATAATGTGTAAAGTATGAAATTGATATTGTAATATATCCAGAAAAAGATTGTCAGCGGTTTCTCAGGATCATTTCTTGTGAAGCCTATTATTGCTTTTTGCTTTTAAATTTTTTGTTCTATCACATTTTGTAAATTATTCATAAGTAATGATTTTTTATTCTTTCTATTAGATATAACAATAGTGCTTTCTACAGAATAAATCAAAACCTATTTTAACATTATTTGCTTTTTTTATGAATTGAAAATAACGGGGTGATGAAAGTCACCACTCTTTTAGTAATACGAGAAATATTCAGGCTTGCTGTAGGGTTAAAAACTTTTCACAGGAATTCCCTATTTCATCCCCAATTAGGAGAGCCAAATTATCCCTTCTTGTTGTCTTCAAATTAACCATTTAAATTTCATTGTTCTATACATCCTTATTACACAGCTGTCAGTACCTTTTCTTCCTTTCTGGGAGGGCATGTGTGTTTGTGTATGTGAATGAGTGAGTGTGTGTGTGGTGTGCATGAGTAACTGTGGATTCATGATTAATATGATTATTGGGACTACAACAAGTTTTTGGAGCTGTGGAGAAATTTTTCTAAAATATTTTAACATGAAAAAAATGTTTAATTTTCGACAGCCAATGAGGTTGACATTCCATTCCATATTCTAGTTACCTTTAATGTATTTTATGATGATGGATTGTTGTTACTATAGTGGAGTGTCCCATCACAAAACTGGAGAGGTGTGCATATATTTTTTCTACTCCGTTTAATAGTAAAAAGTCCATGGTGGTAAAATACAATAAGCTAAGTAGAATATGGTGTGAATGTGGTTTTAATGGTTAGAAATATATCAAGAACTGAGAAATACTTGAAATACTTTTTGTTAGGTTGAGTGACAATATGTGACAATTGGCACAAATTTTTGCACTGAAAGACTTGAAATTTTGTAATGTGATACCTAAACTGGGTATCTAAGATAAAGAGAGTTGTGTCGTGATGATGTCAGCTTGAAGAGCTGTGAATCCCACCTTGTGTGTGTATTGTGCTTAGTGGTATGGAATGGTGGTGTCTCCCAATCACCTTTCAATCCTCTTCCTTCCATTCCATACCAGCCTCACAGCATGGGCTTGAGGCAGCTACACCTAAGTACATGTTACATCAACACTGAGGCTGCCTTATTAGGCCTGGAGTTTGTGTCTTGTGGCATAACAGGACAGAGTAACCACTGTGTATCCTTCTTTCCTTCCAGAGATTCTCTCCCTCCAATTGTAAGATAAGTAAGAATTTGAAATGAACATGTCAAAAAAGAAAATGTGATGGTGAAACTGAGGAAATGCAGAGGTATTAAAATGAGCATTTAGGCACCCAGGAAATCAAAAACTCACAGGGCACTAGGTGCTGCCCTTTTGAGTAACATAATCTGCCGAGAAATTTTGTGAAACGTTTCATTTTGTTATCCAAATAATATTTAAATAATAATGTTATTGTTACATATTACGCTATTTATACAATGAGAGTAATATAACAGAAGACTTGTTTCCAGTTAGTCATTTAATGTTTGCTTGTGACTGGACAGGGACACTCAAAGGCATTCAAATACTCTCTTGTGAAATTTTGCATCTTTTGTCCTTCAAGAGTCCAATTTCTGTGGGATATGGGAAGTGGCTGTGGCTAACACCATAGTTTAGGTGATGTATTTCAAGACGTAGTGTCACACATTATGTAGACTTTGCAAAAGTACAGGTTGATACCATTGTTATTTTAGGACTGTTTGTTGAGCACCACTAGTGTTTTGGTTTCACTGAATCCTTAAATGCTCTTGTCTTAAAACCTCATTCATATGCCAGCATTGCCATTGAATCTGACATTTCAGATTTTCAAAATAATATTGTTTCTAGATACCACCTCTTCTTTGTTAATAACATTTGGTAACAATTTCCCCTCTGTTTACCTTATGCCACAATTAATCCTGAAAAAATCACTTAATTTTAAATATTTGAAAAAAAATCCACATTAGAAATTTTTTTTTATAGATTCAGTGACCTTAGATATGACTTTGTTTTTTGTTTGTTTGTTTGTTTGTTAGTTGGAAATTTTAAATATTTAACAGAGTAGAAGAAAAATGTTTAAATTGTGAAGAAAAAATGATAAATTTTTAAAGATTATAAACAAAAAATGTTTGTTATAAAAATTAAAGAACATAAAATTCATTAAAAACTTAAGCTGAGTTAATCCGGGAGGTGATGGGGGGACTCTTGCAGGAAAGTTTGGTCTTATTATATGACAGATCTCTAAGCAAAACATTATACTTCATTTAGCTATAAGACAGTATTTACAATCTTATTTCGGCCATGTTGGCTATTTCTTTGGCATTAATACAGAGCAATTGAGAAAACTCAATGAAAGTGAGCAATTGAGAAAACTCAGTTTCAAGTGACCGGTGAGCACCCAGATATTTGTGCTTGAATCAGAATGTACTATAGCTCAAATTTCATACCTGTGTGTCCATTATCTTATCAAATGAAGCAAAGCAAGTGTTGAAATGAGGAATCATATTTTTTGATTTCTATAATTAATATAAAAACTGTTTTTTGTGATTTTCATTTGTAGTTTTGTCTGAATATGACAATTGTTTCATTTTACTTTTACTTGTAATGAAGTGCTTCTAAATTTTGTACTAATGTAGAATATGCTTTTTTTATTTCATAAATACTTAATTTGTTAGTGCCTTTTTAGTGTATCTTTTCTGCTGCAGATTTAGACATAAATGTTGAAACTCATAATATCATATCATTTATATATAATGTACAAGTGTATAAAACTAAACTTTTAATATGTAGTGAAATATTTTATATCGAGTTCTTTGCAATTTGTTAGTTGGTATAGGTGAAGAAAATTACTGTTAGGGTCAATTGCTTTAATAATTTTTGCAAAAGGGATCTATAACTGGCTGTATGATGGCAGGTGTGATTGTTAGGAGTGAATGATGAAAGAAGAACATGTTCAGATATGATACATGGAGTTTGAGAAGCCAATAATGCTACAACCATGTGGTGAAAATACCCATGCCTTGCCTCTAACTCATTCCTGTGGCCTTTGAGTATGTGTTCTTGTCCTCAACCCTGCGCCAACGTGGTAATCACTTAAATATGTATAGGAGAGAAAAAATTAATAAAATGTGCATTGTTTTGAACCAGACATGAGTAACTTAACTAACACTGTGTAAGAATGCATTTTCAAGTTATTTGTTTAAGAAATTTGATGGAAAACACACACTCACACTGTCCTTTTTAAATAACAATAGAAGTATGATTTGGTAGGCATTAAAAATAAGTCATTTGGGGACATTATTGTTTTGTTTTACAAAGTTTTGAAAGCCAAGACACTGTAGTAAACAGAATAGAGGTGCTGATGTCATTTGTGAATAATTTTAATAAAACAAGACCAAGATTCCAAGGAGTTGAACTCCTTTTGTTCTCTGTACATGTTATGTGTGTGTATGTATATTTGTGTTCAATGCGTGTGCATGTGTGAGTCATATGTTGAAAATTAATGCGTTCCTTGCTACTATATTTTTTCAGGTTGGTGACACAAGGGTTCAACAAGCCTGGCCATCATCAGCGTTCTTCATATGGTAGTGATTCCAGCTTTGTTCCTCGTTTACTACCACGTATCCCAGTGTCATCTCAATTTCTGCTGGAATTTGTTAATGCATTGTATTTTGCCATGTTTAATGGATTTAGCTACATTGCAACACAGGCCCTGGAAGATATATATAATCGTGCTTGTTATGAATGTTTTGCAGAAGTGGTGTTGGTGACAAATGCAATTCGCAATTCTCTGCAAGTCAATCCATCAGGTAATTTCTTGTACTTAAAATACACTCTAGATATTTTCCTAGTTTTTGACTTCATCCCTAATTTTTTCCCTTTAACTATTTATAATTATATATATAATAATTATATATTATATTATATATAAATATATATTATATATATATATATATATATATATATATATATATATATATATATATATATATATATACAGGAAAAATGTAATGTCTAATATAAATATCTTGAAAGTTTATTCTGAAAAAATCATAAAAACGTGATAAAATTTATTCTGAAAAAAATTATATAATATTATTGTGTTGATAAAAACCATCATTTTTGTCTACTGCTGAAGAACATTTTGCGTTTATTACTTGCCTTCAGAGCATGAATAGAAAGAAGCTATTTGAATAAAATAATGCTAATAAAGATTTATTAGTCTCTGATATTAATTATAAAGCTTACATCTCTTTATTGTAGGTGCATCTTTTGACCATATTTGACTTTAGTTTTTGTTTGAATGAGGTCATTAATGAATTATATTCTTCAAACATTAATTATGGTTCTGTTAAAATTACAGGTCAACCTGGTGATGGCCCAATGGGAATAAGTGTGGCTCTGTCGCCTGCAACCACGACTGTTACAACAGTTTCCAAGTCAATGATAACAAATGCATCTTTCCGTACAAAGAAACTACCAGGTAAGAATTTGTTTAGAATACTTATCATTTGTTGCTAGCAGTAAAATGTCATTTTTAATAGTAATTGTTTTTAAAATGGTCTAAAGAAGATTTTGTTATTTACGTTGTATGAACATATAATTGCTTTTTTTTGTAAAGTGTTTAATATCACTTTAATTAATTTAATTTTGATATTTATTTTTTTCTTGGGAGAAAAATTGCTATTGCTTGAAAATTAAGGCACTGTTATTATCAATGCTTTACGTTAATGTAAAATATATATTTTAATATTTATAGTAAAGGAATATAGAATGTGGATTTCCTTATGAAAACACTGAAAATTGATTTTAAAGTACATAAATTAAGAATAAGTTGTTTTTTTTTGCATCTGCTTGTAAAATTAATATAATTTTTGAATATTACTGTTTGGAAGTAATTTGATTCCCTGCCTTTGGTTGACTAATACATAAGCTGTTTATGTTATTTCGTTTTGGTGTGTGTGCATGACGTGAAAAATATATTAGAAACATATGCAATTGTTTAAGTAGAAAAACATTTTAATTTTGTTTTCAAATCTACATGTAAACATAATTACATGTTTAGTGCATTTTAGTACTCTTCCATATTTTTACGCACTATATAGTAGAAGATTCTGGCCGTCAAACATTTATTTCTTTGCTGTAAAATGTTCGGTTTTGTTAGACTGATAGTTTGCAAATGTCAGAGCAAAAGCTAAAATTCACTTAGCTGTTTTACTTTTCTTGTATAATTTTTGCTCAATAATGAAAATCGTTGTTTAAATAAATGTGGTTGAAAAGGTCCTCCAATGTTAAATCTCTATAAGAAATGAGATTGTTGCTTGAACCTACTGCTGTAACTCTCAAGATGGATTTTCTTCCCTTTGGTTAAAAGTATTTGTTAATTAACTTTTTTTTGTGTTTTTATTTTGAAATATTTGAAGATTTTTACAGAAATCATAAAAATATTAGTTTCTAGTTTATTTGTCTTTTGATAAATTACTATTAATTAATTGTTGGTTTTAAAGAATTATTAAAAATTTATAATAGACAAATGATTTTCATGACCTTTTGCACTGAAATTGGTGTAATGAGTCTACATTTGTTGTTCTATTTCACATTTTTTGCCAGACCATAGCTTACACGTTTATCACATGCTCATTTGGGCTCTTCTTCAGAATGAATCTTTTCCCATATACTTCTGAAACCCTTTAGAAATATCAGGATATGTCGAGAGGGAGAAAGAGAGTGCCACTTCTGAATCTCTCTTTGCTAAAAGCAGTAAAAATCTTTCCTTTTTTGTAATACCTTTATTCTGATATGGGTGGCCACTTTCTGGATAACATGGAAAACTAGGAACAATCAGGGAATTTCATGACTGTAAAAATAGGGAAATATTCACAGATTTTTTAGAAAAATCATTGGAAGTCAGGAAAAATTTTGAGTCCATGTAACTTAAAAAATTAGTCTAGGGAAAAAAAATAGTGACTGTTTTTATTTGTTGAGAATTTTTAAAAAGTTGGTTCTTATACAGTGAAATCAGGAAGTTGGCAAATTAATATTAGGCTTGCTTTAATATTTAAAAAAGTGTAAAATACTCTACAAATCTTATCAGTAAAAAACTGCAAGGGAAAACCGGGAAAAGGCGTGTAAATTTGTCCCAGGAAATAAGTGGCCACCCTGTCTGATGTAAATTTTCTGTTTGATTTGTGTAATGGTAATTGCTGTAAGGAAGATGGGATGGGTTGTTGGAATGTGTATCAAGTCTAATATACAAATTAAAATGGTTAGTTTGCCTAATCACAATTTCTAGAACATGCACATTTTCACCCTGTTAATTGAAGCATGTTTAAAGTGATTAAATGTTTTGCATTTTGTGGGAAAATCTATCTAATGAACCCAATGAAGAAACTAGTTGGTCATGATTTACTGTGCTTTCTATCAAATAGTTGTTGGCATCCTTATTTCTTTTCAGTTCAATAAAACTTCCTTCCTTGAAAGTATCAAATTAAGTTATTCTGCAATACCGTGTATGTAGTGGAATTAACAAGTGTATTTTCAAATTTCTTGTTTTCCTTTATTGTTATTAGAGTTGACTTCTGAAAATGCATGAAAAGTAGAATTATCTGAAGATACACTCTGAAAGTTTAGGTACAAGAATCAGAAAATAATAAAAAAAATTCTTGTTCCTTTAACATTTCTGTTGATTAATAAAATAAATACTTACGTTTTTCTAATATGCATGTTTTAAATGAAACTTTTTCATTATTTTTCAATTTATTCTGAATATAATGTATTTACTTTTTTCATATTGTTCAAAATTCGAGTAGAAAATTAATGAAGACAGTGTTTCTCCCATTATGCACTAGATTATTACAGCATCAATTGTACAGTTGAATGATTTATAAAATATGGTAGTTGAAAGGAGTTTAAAATACCTTTTTGAGTTATTTTTATATATTATAATGCAATATTCCAGAGAAAAGATGCTGTGTATTTAGTGAAGAGAAATGTACTGCAAATTTGTATTCTGCAGTTAAATATGTAGCTCACTAATCCTGAAATACTAAAACCTGGGTATGGTTGAATGCAGAGTAGTTGTAAAATCACATCTAGTCTTTATTTATTTTTTTAATTTATTTTTTCCTTCAATATTTTTGGGTGAAAATTGTAGTGAAGTACATCTATAAATAAGTAGAAACTAATAATACATGTGAAGACAATATATTTCACACAAAAATCTTCCTCTGTGTAATAATTTCTAAGTTATGTTACATATTGGGAGTTCGTGGATAAGCAAATTGAATTCATCGTAATAAGTATGTTCAAATTTCATTTTTCAAATGAATAAATCCAAGAAAGGATCTGTTTCACAAATTGTTGCATAAGAATATGTGAATCAAAACACTTGCAAAACAGAGAGAAAATTTGTATTTGAGAATTATTCTCCAGATCATTAAAAATGTTGTTTTTTAAATTTTCTGGTTATGCCCTGAGAAGTAATCTATCTAAATAATTATACCACATTAGTATGAAATAAACTGGAGTCATGATTCTACATAAAATATCCTATGAAAAATGTGTATTTGATACATTAATGCTTTTATTTTAATATATATCTTTATTTTAATATTTTATTTTTAACCTTTTTGTATTTAATTAATAATTATTTTCTTATGTAATTAATTCATTTTAGCATTTATCTGGAGCTTTGTTAGATCTCCACTATCATTTTGCCACTGTTTCTTGTATCTTGCTTTAATTTTCTGTGTTTTTTTTTTTTTTTAATTCATCTTTTTTTTTTTTTTTTTTTTTTTTTTTTTTTTTTTTTTTTTTTTTTTTTTTTTTTTTTTGTTTAAAATGAAATATTTATTATGTACATGATCGTTTCTGGCGTTGTATTGCATGGTATTCGCAATTCCTATGTATCAGATGACCTTGAAGAGGAGTTAGTGGCAAGTTTGTCAGCCAGTCAGCAAGAATTAGAAGGCCAGAGGAGGAGGCTGTCTCTGATTGTTCCTGTGGAGGAGGAATCATCCACTGCAGTGGAAGGTACTCCTGAAGGAGAAAAGAGCAAAGGGAGGGGAAGTAAATGGCGAGCTTGGGGTTGGAAACATGGTAGTAATCGTGGTTCCTTGGATGAAGAAAGTCCTCCTTCATCCTATGATATGAACTCTGATGAACAAGGGCTTTTACATAGCTCACCAACTCGGAGCAAAAATGGGAGTAAAGCCAGTAGTAAAGCTAGTAGCCGACGAGGTAGTGAAGAAAATAGTTCTGCATCTCCAAAAAAACTAACGAAGAGCCAAGCCTCTTTATTGGAAGGAGAAACCAAAAGTTGTTCAGGCTCACCAAAACGACGTCAGTTAGCTACTGCACCAAATTTTTCAATTCCTCAGTCATTTTCCCCTTCACCTACAAAGACTAGTAATAGAATGAGTGCTGGAGCTCGTCTTTGTAAGGTATTTGAAGAAACCTTCATAGAAGATGGTGCGAGTGAAGGCATTGAAGAAGATATTTTGCAGACCTTCTTTGTTGCTGGTCGTCCTGCCAGTGTGAGCCTTTTGCAGGCATCAGGAAGCCAGTATCAAATGTAATGCAATGGGTACAAATTTGCCCTCTTGCATGTAAACGCCAGCTCAGGTACGAAAGTTTGCACCCACACTGCAGCAGCATGCACTTGAGTGAAGAGCTCCCTGCACTCTTGCCACTTTGTCAAGATTCTCTAACTTCTTCTGCTTGCTCATAATCTGTCACACTTCTTTGAAGATTATAGTGCCTTTCAAAGCTTTTTATTCATATCGCTCAGTCAGAGGCATGTTCAGCAAAGTGCCCACTGTGGGATCCACCAAAGTCGGCAGACCTCAGTATACTTCAGAATTTCTGGTATTTCCACAATGGATGGCATTTGAAAGATAACATGGTTCTGCTTCATTTACCTACATGGGTTCAGGTTGAAGGTTTGCAGCTCTACTCATCTCTTTTTCAGAAAAATCCTTAAGAATGAAAATTGAGTTTTCTCTATGGAATATGTGCAGAATTTATTTACACAACCCTGAAAATAGAATAAGGCCTTCAAGTAACCAGAACAAGGCAGATGTTCAGGTCTTTTGTGTCTTCAGTAAAATGAAGCATGTTAGAATTCTCTTTTTGATTAGAAATGTTCATAATAAAAGTATTTGTTTAGTACCATTAGTAACATTAGAATACTAATTCATTTCATTTTTGCCATAAATCTACCATGTTCTTAAAGTAATGTCTTTGACTTGTAATCGTGATGAAGCATACTCAGGTATTGCATTTTTAATTTACTTGATGACTCCTTTCTGCACTGTAGTATTGGCAGTTTATTGTCTTTGTATTTTTGAATCAATATTGATCTTTCTATTGAGGAAGAAAGAGAAACGTTATTGGGCTATAACCCTACTATAGTCTTCAGTCTTTCTATATACTGTTTATTGTATTTTGTTTTGAAATATTGTTATTCGGAGGTGTTTATTTTATTCTTAAGTTTAATGTATCAAATTACCTTCAAATTATTTCTTCAGTTAGTGGTTTGTGTGTAATGTAAAAATGATAGGAATTGGCATTTCCAGTTTCAGTTCTTTTAGTTGAAGAACAATGAATTTTGAGTGCTTTATTTGTGAGATTTTAAATGTTTTACTCTTACCTGAAACTGCTCTTTCCACAACACTGTTAATTTCATTTTTCAATATATATTTATTTTTTCACTTTTTTGATGCACTGTCTTTGCAAAATGTTTTCAACAGTTTGTGTAAATATTCAAAGTAATTGGGACTAAAAATAATTTATGTGTAGAAAGAGCAGTGTTTTATCATAAGAACCATTCTGAAGTTGAATTTTAATAATTAATTTGCTCTTGGGTTCTTATTTCAGAGGATATTGTTCGTAAATCAAAGGGAAGCCTTTGAACAAATACTCTGCATGAAGCATGAGTTAACATAATATTTCTGTGCTGGCCTGCCTCACCTGTATAATAGGAGGGTTTTGTTGAAAATATGTAGGACAGTATTTCACAATTATGTATTTACAAATGAAGAAATGTAATGGGGTCAAATCAGGTATCCTTGGCGCAATCGGTGTATTGTGTAGTTGTTGATATGTAACTTCTAATATTCTTTCACAGTTTCCTCTATTAATAGAATAAACAATAACCCATTCAAAATTTTAGAAATAGTTTGAGAATTTATAATTGTAGTAACAGGAATTTAAACTCAGTCCGTCATCTAACCTTAAAGCTGTTTTTTCTTTGTTCATCCTTTAAATGTTCATTTTAATACACATAATTTTTCTCCTGAAAATATTTCAAGGAGGAAAATGAGAGAAAAAATATGGAGAAGATAATTTATACAAGTTGACCCCCATACTAAGTTTAGATCAGACAATCAAGGGAGCAAAAAACCTTCAGGTTTCCGGATTTTGAATGGCGTTGCCTTTTAGATACCTGTGTAGGGGTGATTAAGCGTGTGCATGTGCAATTGTTTTTCTATTAGGATGCAAATAATCTTTTAGGCTTTTGCTGTGTTATTAATTTTTTTTGCTAATTTTTATTGAATTTAATTTTTGTGTAAACAAGTGTCAGGACATACATTTTTGTGATTTTAATGTATAGCATGCTTGTAGGTTGCATTTTCACTAGATATGCTATAAAATGTTTGCTTCAAAGAAATGAATCTTTGTAGCTACTAAGCAAGGGCTTGTCAAGATTGATTCTTGACATTCTCTGTGCTTATTGCTGTACTACTTATCAAACTGTTATGTTGCAATATATGTGGAAATGAAGTAACTGTCAAATTGTATTGAGGGCAGGATTTTCTAATTGTGATATTTATTTCTACTTATTTAATAACTTCCTTATTTCTTCCAATTTAATTTGTTATTATATTCATATTGTATATTTTCCTTTAAATTAGTGACATTTCTAATCAGTGTTATAGTTGTGAATATTACCATTTTGTAAAACTTCTGTGAAATTTAATTGCTCAGGTAAACATGCTTTAAATGATTTTTACTTCTTATTTTTTACAGACTCCTGGCCAAAGTCAATGAATGTTCCTTTCAATTTTATAACAAATTTGTTATTTATGTTTGTATGTTTTTAAGCTAAATGACTTGTTTTATATGTTTATATTGAATTGGAAAAAAACAAAGAACTTACTGTTATTTGTGTTATATGTTTACTTGAATGCTTTTGTTGTTAAGCAAAAAAGTTCTGATGACTATGAATTATCAGTATTTCTGCTTTGTTTGTTTGTTTGTTTGTTTGTTTCTTTCCTTCCTTCCCTCTTATCTATGTATATGGAAGTAGACATTGTGTTGATTATTACCCTTTCTTCCCAACTTGATTGTGAAAATTTCATATGCATCATGTTTTAATTTTAACAGATGACATCCCTATCCAAGAACCTAAAGACGATGCAGGTGGTGATGGAAATAAAAACTTGGGATCTATCTCTGAAGAACAAGAAGAGCCTGAAAAGCTCACCCCAAGAGGAAGTTCCATCAGAGCACGTGATTTGGCAGGAAAGAAGTTGCCAAACTTCCCTGGTCTTGGCAAGAAGACTAAAGAATCCAAGGCTGGAATGAAGAATGGAACACCTATATCTCTGGAAAAGAAAGATTCCACAAATGAAGGAAAGAAGACTCCAACAATAACACCTCAACCTGGCTCCAGTAAAGATGGTAGTAAGAATTTGTCTGGTGCCAGAGGAGCCCTTCTTTCCATGGTTATGAATGGTGATTCTGGATCTTCAGAAATGGATAGCTCCGGTAGGAAGAAAAGCGTAGTTGTAGGGCCTGCAGAAAATGTCAATGGGCCTGTGTTACCTGATGGTGCAATTGCTAATGGCAATGTGAGCTCTGTGGTCACTTGTGACCAAGAGAAGAGTAGTGTTATGACTAGTGATTCCTTGGTCACGACCAGTGACCTTAGCGGCCCCTTAGATTCAGGGTCATTATTCACTGGTGAATCTATTGATCTCTCTGCAGCAGATAGTGAAGAGAAGCTTACAGAGTCTTCTCCATTAAGTCACAAGGTTGAGATGGAGAGTCGTTCACCATTGCAGGTAAGCACTGTGTAAAGAGCATGAATATGACATCCATAGTTTGGTATCTGTAATAGTACACCAGGAATGGCAATAGTGTCTTTTAGAAACACATAATGTTTACTCAATTATAGGTTACACTTTTTGTTAATTCAGGGATCAAAGTGGCATTTGGCCACTCACTACATGTTGAATATGTTTGTGTGTACTATTCTCTACTTGTGCCTTGTAATTGAGTAAATAACTTCTGAATAATGTTTTAGAAAGCTGATTGTTTTTGTCAGAGAGTAGATGGACGTATCTTAGATATTAATTTACTACATGTGTATTTGTGTATATTGAAAGAATTGGGGAGTATGATTACAAAACGATTAAAGAAAAATTTAATGAAGTGTCTAATGTTATCAGAATAATTTTATAAAGTAAAAAGTGTTATCTGCATCTCCAGTTGAAAAGACTGTTTAAGAAGTAATTTGTCTTTGTTGGAAATCATTTAAATTGTAGATATGAAAACCTCAGGGGTTTTACTTATCGGAGATCACTTATAATTAGTTGTAAATATGTTAGAATAGTATGTAATTAGTTCTGTGTACCAAAGATATTTGGTAAAGGAAGTGCTCTTAATTTTTTTTTCACTGCTGTGTAAAACTTCTGAAATTGCTAAGATTTATGAAAGCAGCATTGTTACAATGAAAAGAGCCTTTGTTAAACTTCTCTTTATCCCCAGAAATTTTCTGGTGCAAAGTTAAACAAAATATTATTCTAAAAAGCAGAAACTAACAAGATGGTGCTATTTATTGTATAAATTAGTTAATTGTAGTTTTGACATTGACTTTGAAAACGTTCTGCTTTGAAGTCTACGTCTGAGCTAGTTTCTCAAAAGAAAATTTAAGTATTACCTATTAGTGAAACTGGTCCTGTTCTTACATAATTGTTCAAAATCCTGTTTTATTTATAGTATAATTCATTTATGTTGAAATGGAAAATAAACACTTGATTTCACTGATATTATTACTAGTTCTTGTCTGATAAGCAAGTCAACTGACATCTAGAAATTATTCTATATTGAAGTAGAATATCCATCTTACAGAATTTGTTAAACAAAAAATTGGCCATCACCATTTGTTGTCTATAGGAGGGGTGGTTTTTCATGCAAGGTGAGAACCTTGCATGACTCCGTAAAATCCAGTCAACATTTGCAGCAAACTTTATTACTGTCCTACCTTCAATCTCTTTTTCTGCTAGGTTACTCTTATTTGAAGAAATAGTTCTATGAGAAGTATTCAAAAGACCTCCTGTTTTAGTAAATAAATAAATAAATAAGGGATCGTTAACATTGCCCACAGGATTGCTTTGGCCTAGACTGAGAAGCACCCATTCATTTCCGAGATTGACTCACTACTTCCGTTACTAGTGCCATAGCATTACATCTACCTCATTTATACTGTGGCTTCTAGTAAGTGTTTTCTTTTAGAAATAAGTAACGTGCTATCTCTTCTTAAGTTCTTGAAGAAAGTAGTGAGGACACTTTAATATATTGTGTTTTTGAATGGTGTGTTTTCATTGAAAAATCTACTTCAAGAAAAAAAAATTGACTTGATTTCTTATTTTTTTCTTACCAAACTCTCTTTTTTCAAGAGAAGCTTCTGACTTCTAATGTTTAATTTTGATCAATCTTCTCCAAAAAAATTATTTCAAAAGAATATAAATTAAAAATATTGATCATCAAACATTGTTCATCATATTGAGTGGAAGTAAATATGATGAGACACCAATATCTCAATATGATAGTAATATTAATTTTACTGACTTCTCTGGAATTGGCTATGATGTTGTAGTGAGTGCTGTAATTTTTGGGGTGATAACTATTTTGTTGGTAGGTAATGTTTTTTTATTTCCCTAAGTAATACTTGTGGATTTATTGAGAATTCCCAAAGTACTCATGGTATCTAGATGACTATTTTATTAGTAAATATGCTAATAAACTCAAATAAAACTAAATAAACAAATAAGGCAAAAAATATATTGTAATTTTAATATTCAGTAAAGTTCTTAAAGTTCACATTAAAGTTCATCATGAAATGTCATAATATCGCTACCTCTTGGAATGATTTCATCTAATGCATGGAAGTTAAACTAAGGAAATGGATTTAAAATGTTTTGTTTTGTATTCTAAAATCCAATTAAGCCCCAAGAAATGGTTATAAAAGTAACAGAAAACCTTCCAAGAAAATAAAAAAGGTCATTCATTAAATTAACAATTATTAGAAACACAATTGCCAGTAGCCCAGTCGTCCAAAATGTTTGGCCTTTTTTTTAAAATTAATGTTAAAGGTTAATGATTTGTTTAATTGAACTGCTGGAACTGTGTTTGAAAGCTTTTTTACTTTTTGTTTCTGCACTAATTTTGGACAATAAATTGCATACTTTCTTTCTATTCTATTTCTACATGTGAAAATTCAGCAAAACATTTCATATGGCTTTAATACTTAGTTTGTTTGATTTCATAGAAGAAAAAAACAATGCACACCTTCACAAGTCAATGTATTGGGCTAATAAAAGAAAAACAGGTGCACATTAGAGGAATTACATTGACAGGAAAATTAAATAATTTTGTGCTGATTGCCAGCTGGGATTGGTTGAAGTTTGAATCAGTTCTTTCTTACCCAGGATTTGATTGAAATAGTCTGCCAGGTATAAAAATTAATCTACAAGCTCAGAGCCTGAACTAGATTGTTCTACTGAAGATCTTCAGAGAGATGATTCAAGGCAGGATGGAATGCAGAATTATCTCATTAAGCAGATACCATAATAAATCTCATTTTTCCGTACAGTTGCCCACTGAGTTTCAACATTAATTTGTGCTAATGAGAAGTGCTGTAACTTAAGTAACTTTATCAAGCATTGGTTGTCTGAGCTATATAGTTTGCTTTCTTACTACCTGCCACATGAGGGGAGGGAGAGGGGCATTGACTTGGTCAATCAAATTAAATATCAAAATAAACATTTTGCAACTTGTTGCAATGTACAACATGAGTAGAAAGGATCAGAGAAACTGTACGAGCAGGTACGAGCTTAAGGTGCTCAAAGTATGACTAGGTCCCAGTAATAATATTAAAATACTTTACATATGTAATAAAAAATAGTGTGGATATAAATTTTAACCATTACAGTTTTCTAAATTAACATTCAATTATTTTTATGTTAAAAAACAAATACTAGATATTGATTCAAAGTTATGGGACCCTTTAACCAGCTTAAGCTTGTGTTCAGTGAGCTTATGAATTAAACTACCTCGGTGGTGTTTTGTAATTCTGGACCAGATTCATGGCGAATGTATCCCTTGTAGTCTGAGCAATTGCTTAGGGATAGTAATTTACATTATTGCTACACGATTTTTGATGTGTGTTCTCTCACACAAATTAATTTACAAGCACTCACATGTTGGGCCTGCCACGGAAATGGCTCTTGTGGAACTCTTATTTAGTCAGGCTTGTTGGAAAAATTTTCAATTTTTCATAAGAAGAGTGAAATTATTTCTGAAATTTTATTGGTTATTATATTTAAAAATACACATCATCCATTTCACAAAGAATGTATTTAACACTAATTTTGATATAAAATATGATTAATACATGTGGGACCTCCAAATACTGTCAATGGTTCCTTAGATAATATTTTGTATATAGAAATAGATACTAATTTTTTTGCAATATAGTGAAACAAATGAAAAAAGAGATAAAACTTACAGGTAAAATTCAGAATGGTAAAAAATTCATTTTCTTAGGTTAGGGAGTTAGTCAGTCATATGGACTTGTTTTGTGTGTTAAGGGATAAGAATCAAAATATCTTCAATTGATGTTGATTAGGTGTTTCAAGGAACAACTGAAACAAAACAAATCATCTGAACACTGACACAAACTTGCAGAAGGAAATTGTTTTTTGCAGTCGTAAACACTTTTCAAAAGGAACAACTAAGTGATTGGTGTTTATTTTATAGAAACCTATATGTTTATTTAATTGGGAAAAAAAAAAAGTTAAGTTATAAAGAAGTTAAAAAAAAGAGAGTTCATATGTAGAGCTATTTTTTATGTAAAGAAATATTTGAAGTTGAAATTTCAAGGGACCCTAAAAAATTTGATGTATAGAACTCCGAAGAAGTTTATTCTCTATCTGCTTTTTTTTGCAACTGGAAAAAATGTTTGTACAAATTAATATTATAATTGTATTCAGCAACTTTGACCAGATATAGTAATTATAATTTATATAGTTACATTAAAGTAAAAGGCCGATTTCATATCCATTTAAACAGCATTTCAACATACAGGGAGTATTTTTATATGTCCAACTATTATATTTTCACCTTTCAAAAATGGATAGCATAAATCCAATCACTTTTTTCCATTCTTCTCTTTGAGATGCAAACACCATAATAATATACAAATGTTTTAGTATGATACTGGTTACAAAGGAGAATTAAAATGTTTGTTAAATAATTTTGTATAATTTATTAATGTATTAAAACATTAAATGATTATTCACATGAGATCAATTTAGTTAGGTTCTTTAAAATTAAACTCTCAGTATCTCAACTTCTGCAAACCTATTGTGACAATGATTTTGTAAATAAGTATATGTCTAATATTGGAGAGTTACAGCAGGTTTTAGTATCTTCATATCTATACCACATATGCCAGATTAGAATTGCTTGCACAAACACAAAGACAATTTGGAAATATCCATGATAATTAGTAACCTCAACACGTTTCTTATTCACACAGGGGACTTCAGTTCCTCTCCCCCTCTGAAGCCAATGAAATATATTAAAAATATAACACTTAGTAGTTTCCCATACTAATGAAAGTCATTCAATATATCAGTTGTTTATGTTATAACTATTAACTAAAAGAACAAATACAAGTGCATTTTATATTCAGCATGAATGAAAAATTCTTAATAATAAAACATAAATGCTCCTGTTGTGTGTGTCGGGCTGATCACTATATTTTCAATCTCCCAAGAAAAAAGTCTTGGATGTGCCTATTTCTATTTCTACACATATATGTTGATGGGAAACTATGCAGTTTCTGGCCCTGTAAGAGCTGTTAAGGGTTTTGTTAGATGCCCTGGAAGACTGGAAAGATATAAAAACAGTCAAATGGTTTCCAATTTGGCTCGACAATGCAAATGTTTGATTGTGTTAATCTGCTTAAACTTTTTTTTAACTTGATCGTGCGACTATATTCTCATCAGTGTGTGACAGCTTACAACAGCTGATGAGGAAGAAAGTCTTCAGTTAAGCCAATTTTTGCTCCTAGATTTTTCCACACACACACGACAGGAGCATTTTTGCTTCTGCAGGCTACTCTCTTTATAAATGTTCTCATCTTTATTCACGAACTTACTTTAAAGTGAATTGATGTCAGAAATATCCCCATGTTTTCACGTTCGATTTGTTTCATAAATTATTGGTTGTGATTATTTAAACAGGCATAAAAACTCGTTGCTGCAACAGAAAGTCAGGATTTCTTTTTATAAACCTTTCTAAAATTGTAAAAGAAAGAAATTCAGAAATAGGACAGTAATTCAGAAATGAGCATCATTTATGGATTCTTAAAACAAAGTTAGATTCATTCAAATTAAAATATCAATAGTAAGAATATAGCATTTCATTGTGGGTAATAGTGCTAATTATATCGTTATTCATTGGTTTTTCAAAATTCATGAATATCAGGTTTTAAAAAAAATCTATATCCAACATTATGAAATTCATCCAAATAAGAGAGAATTTTGGAATCATGCTCTTCAATTCTTTCTTTATTTTCATATCTTATCCATTACTGTAACAGCAAATGTGTTATAAATAAATGGTTAATTCCTGTACTTATTTTATGTATCGCAGTTACATACTGTGAAGAATAAGTTACAGAAAAGAGAGATTGTTTTTTGTGAAGTGTCTTTAAATAGTGAATTCTATTTACATGTCTTGGGATAATTATTTGATGTGCTGACATTTCTATTGAAATCAGATCAACATTGTTATTTAGCAGTAATTTGTAACGAGAGAGAATTTTTCTGCTACAGTGAATTCTTCATTTTTTTGGCCACTAGTTTAAAGGTCAAAAATTAAGTGGTAGCTTCAGCTAATGACTTACAAAATTTGGAAAATTGCAAAGAAAATTGGCTAAAGGCTATCTTCGGTGTAGCAAGAGTATATTTTGATCCAAATTAACTCTGGAACTTTGGTAAATGATGTGAACTTCTGACAAAAATTGTTTAGATTTTCCTGTTAATGAGAAATGCCCAATGCCTCTGTCCACAGTCAATAATAAAATAATTCTCTGAATTACAAATTAAAAATTAATTTGATAATTTGGGCTGGAATGTAAAGCAATAAATTTCTCACTTTTTTCTGAGCCTGAAGCAAACCCTCCCTTTAAATCCGTCAGAAATGGTCTTGGATATAATACGTTAATTTATATACGTGAAATTTGTTTTTAAATATTCGTTTAATCGTACCAAAGGAGTGTCAAAGATTGTCTGGTTTTCATGTACATCGTGTTTGTGACATAGGAAAAACCTTTGAGCAATCTAATATTTGAACTAAGTCAATTGTAAAAGAGGAAAGAACAAGACAAAAAAATTAAATTAAATTAAATTACACTTGGATAATAACAATAAAAGAAAGGAATAACTTTGAATTAATGATTCTTGTGTTTTATTTAACACCTTTTTTTTCTCTCTCAAGTGATGTGTGCTCTTCAGCTTTAGTTGCATTAGAAACTAGTTCTAAATATGTAATGCAAATTCATAATGATCTGAACTTTATGAGCAAGCGAAATCTCTACTCAAGCTTGTCTTTCACATTTCCAAACATAGTTACCTAATTTCAATACATGGTATTATTTAATATCTCAGAGTAATTTGGAAAACAAGTTTTATTTTATGGAATTGGGTTTTTGGAATCAGAATTTATGACTCAA